CTGTGCAAACCCTCCCTCACCCTCTCTCTCTCTCTCTCTCCCTCCCTCCCTCCCTCTCCTCCTCTGGATTCACTGGGATATTTATAAAATCCCCCCTCCTGTGCAAACCCTCCCTCACCCTCTCTCTCTCTCTCTCTCCCTCCCTCCCTCCCTCTCCTCCTCTGGATTCACTGGGATATTTATAAAATCCCCCCTCCTGTGCAAACACTCCTTCAGCCTCTCTCTCTCTCTCTCTCCCTCCCTCCCTCCCTCTCCTCCTCTGGATTCACTGGGATATTTATAAAATCCCCCCTCCTGTGCAAACACTCCTTCAGCCTCTCTCTCCCCTCTTTTTGGATTCGCTCCAAAGTTTTTAAAATTACCTCTTCTGTAAAGAGACCAGGTTATCAGCCATATGAGACATACGCTGTATTTCTATGGCACAGTAATCCCCTCCCCAAACAACACGCAATGCCAATTTAGAAGTCCCGAGCAGCCGAGGCGAAGCAGCAGTCCGGGGGGAGGGGGAGGGGCTGAGCTTGGACAGCCTCGGAGGCAGCTCGCCAGCTCCGAGAGAGAGAGAGAAAGAAAGAGGGGGGAGCGAGGGGCTGCTCAAAGCAACAGAAGAAGAAAAAATCCGTGAGGGAAGCCCGCGGTTTCCACATGGAGTAAAGTCTTCTCCTCTCTCAGCCATTGGCAACAGCTCCCAAGGATGCACGGGTGGGAATGCACTTGGCTCGAAGAATATATGCTCCCAGTTGCTAGGAGAGCCTCAAGGCAGCTGGAGACTTTTTCGTAACTTAAAAAAAATTGGGACTTTTAAAAAAAAACGGGACACGGGACAAATTGTTCAAAAGAGGGACTGTCCCGCCAAAAGCAGGACGTCTGGTCACCTTAAATTAAACACCCTCTTCCGCTGGCTATTCTTTGCAGGTTTCAAAAGTACACATTACCTCCATTCAGGCCACTCATGTCTCTTTAAACTTTGCTTATAGAGGACTCCTCCAAAGTCATAATGTGGCCTGAACATCTCCATAGGTCCAATATTTTGCTGCATAAGGAGAAAGGTTGAGACCCCCACAATACCAAGGTGTTTCAGTTGGAACACAAGCAGTGGGACAGTGGCTCATTGTACTTGGGCAATAAATAAATTTGAACGGTGCAGAGATCATGTGGCAATTTGACCTTCCAACATTTGCTTTTGTTCCATATACACCAGTCTCATCTCTGTTTTCTGATGTTTCCACTAAACACAGGCTACCAGGACAAATAGATGAGGCAATGTGTCCTTTAATAGATTTGTCTGCTCCTGTCTATCTTTTTTGATACTATAGCTAGTGGTGAAATTTCCATTTACTTTTTTTGTAACTAAAAAACAATGAGAATAAAGCTTAGGGGATTGAAAATAAATTTACGACTCCATTTTTAAGTGACTTTTAATGAACTTCATCCCCTCACATTAATACATTGTTTAGCCTAACATTTTCATACTGGCAACTCTTAAGATGTGTGGGCTTCATCTCCCAAAATTCCATAGCAAGTTGCCAAGTTTGAAAAACACTGACCTAACCTGTCCTGTCCAGTTGACCTTAGAATTGTCATTGAGAGGCTGGAACAAGTACTGTAAACAAGGCCAAACTGGCTGCTTACAGAGATATTCTTGAAACCTTTTCTTTCTTGCAATTAAATAAAGGTGAAAATACATTAGACTCTAGGAGATTTATGTCCTATGATAAAATTGGATTTTCTTTCAGATCTATTTTCCAACCAATTCTCTCTTTGGTATTCTCTCTAATACCAAACATAAACCCCACAAAAGTGGCTAGGGTGTTTTTTAAGTCCAGAATATCCAAATAATATTTGGAAGTGTCTCAGATACTCCATAATTTATCTGAGATTGTCCAGATTTTATACTCTAGTCTGAGTATCCCTACCATATTAGCATACAAAAATATCCAAAAAGTAAGAAAGTTTGTATAGATACATGAAATGGGAACTTCCTGCACATACCAAAACCAGAATAAATTTAAATGGCTAAATCTGTATATTTAAGAGTGTTGTCAAAATTTGATGGCCATTGGTATGGAAAATAACATCTATTTTCCAGTATTTCTTCTCAAACTATTGCATGAGGAAGACTGAAATAACCATAACACTTCACTTTTTCAGCCTTACACAAATAGACTAGAAGGCACATGCTGTAATTTCTGGAAAAGTCACCCACCACAGCAGATAGTTTCTCTCCAAAGCCAAGCCTCCAACAGATTGGAATGAATCTAAAGCCTGACTAATGTATTTTACTTCACATTGCTCAAGGTCTTGATTGAAATTGGGATCTTGGCTGATTTCTTTTTGTAATCCTATTAAATAGTTGTTATTTGGCTATGTAGTCCTCAAATCCAAAATGCTGAGTTCATTTTGTTTGTATATTGTTACCTCCTACCCTTTTCTTTCCTCTGAGAGGCTGGTCTGTTTATCTGCTTATAAATAAATTGCTTTAGCATAGGATTTAGAAAATAATGTCTTAGAGTTTGTTGATTGTGCTTCTGCATATATTTCTGGTAGGTAGTTCTCTGATTGATTGATTAAATAATTACCTGGAAAGTTTACTTATCAACCTTCAATTTCCCAGTTTTTAGTTTGTATCTAAAATGTCTGAGATTTAGACATTTAACTAGAACAAGTTCAAAGAACAAAGAAAATTGGAACTGCTTATGCTAATTTAATTCTTTAAAAATACTTCTTGAAGATTGCTGATGCCTTATAACAGTGTGTTATGTACTCGTTCCATAATGGTTGAATTAAGCAGAATATTTTTCCTCACTGTTATAATAGTTGCCTCATTTACTAATACATTATTACATTTAGATGTTCATAACTTTTTCCAAAGGTGCCTTAGAATTGTAGTTTGACCAATAAGTATGCTCTGTTAAGCAGAATCTCCATTCAGAATTCAGTGGGGAAAGGCAATGGTATTTCAAACACTTTCAAGCATGTAGGGCACATATACTCCCTGAAACAGAAGATATTGACTCTTGCAAACAAATACACCTTGCTTCATTCTGCAGCTTCTGTCAATATTTTTTGGACAGGAGAGGTGGTTAAAGATCAAAGATCAGAGGGCTTGGATATTAAAAAGGCCCAGCAATTGCTGGGGAAACTAGGAAGTACCAAAGTGGCAGACGATAATCTCTGCTGAAGTTGCACCATGGATCTATTGCACAGTGCAGGAATCCAGGCCACCAGTTACCTCCAAGAGAATTTTATGGACTTTAAAGACTGGTTTCTCTTCATCTCAACAGTAGCTGATCTCAGAACAACTTTTTTCTTGCTCTTTCCCATCTGGTTCCAACTGAAGGAAGCAGTAGGAATCCGACTCATCTGGGTAGCTGTCATCGGCGATTGGTTCAACCTTGTTTTCAAGTGGTGAGCATGAGTGAGAATCCCTGATCACCATATCTGGGCTCAGGAATGAATTCTCCTCTCATTCTTCCAGCACAAAACCAAAGTGACTTTTACAACCCTTCCTTCTTGCAAGTTTGTTGATCTGGTGCTTAACTCAGAGCATAGGTCTTTGCATCCTTTAAAGCATGCAAAAGAATATAGTATACAGTAATATTAGGAAAAAAAAACAATTCTGCTTATATATTCCAGATTTTGACTCTTTTTTGAAAGGCCAGCACAAATTGTAATTTATAAGTTGTACGTAATGCTAAAAACTGTTGGCTGTGAAGTAAGGACTAAGGAGAGGGAGATGACTGGGCGGAAGAAAACATTCACACTAGGTTTTCCTCCAAATAAGCATTTATCATTTCCAAGTTATATTTCATATAGTTGAATTTGGGATACTTAAGGAAAAGGGGGAGGCTTAAGAACTGCCATTATTCTCTTTTCTCTCTTTTCAGAAATTAACCAGTTATTTGTTTATTTGCTTAAATAGTCTAAGCATCCATTTGTTCCATGGACTTTTATTCTCCAACTATCATAAACTGGGATTTGGGTATCATGATGAAAACTATGGGCAATTTTGTCTCCATATTACGGAAGAGGCTACAATTGCAATTTTATATACATGTATTTGGGGAAATGTTCTACTGAATTTAGGCAGCTTTTTAAATAGATACTATGCTCTAGTAAATATGCTCTCAGGTTCTAATCTAATTTAATTGGGAATATTTTTTACTAAATATAATATATTTTACTAAATATAACTTGCCTTCTGAATAGGCAAGTGTAATATTGTACCTTTTAAAAATCATTGGCATTTTTAGATCTTACAATTTTGTTAATTAACGATTTCTAGAATTTGATCTTTTTTCACAGAAGTCATACTGACAAGTACTCTAACCTGTATATTATAATATGCATTCTTCATTTTGTTGAAAAAATTAGATTGATTTTGCTAAATGAAGAAAAACAATAAAAGACTGTTGAAATTTTATTTTAAAATTGTATGGTTAATTTTCTATTAAAACAATCCTCAATGAGCTTGCAAAAATTAAAATTCAGCAAGAGTAATTAATCTTTCTGAGTCAAATACCTTTGGCTTATAATTTTCATAATTCTCAGAGCTAGGAAGCATGTGGGATCACAGGTTGGGGAAGGTTGCCCATGTCCATCCCTATTTGAAATGCTTTTAATTCTAGAACTCCTGTCTTGCAGGTAAATCTGAAATTAGAAACTTGAAAAAAAGTTAATTTACAGATAGACCAATTCTCTGATATTCCCAGAATTGTTAAGTGTCTGTTATCTTATGCCTGCTATTGCTTTGTCCTTTACTGGAATCAGAATTACTTTTAATTTTCTTTCCTCCTAGGATCCTCTTTGGAGAAAGGCCTTACTGGTGGGTTCATGAGACAGATTTTTATGGCAATGTAACACCCCCGGTAATCCGCCAGTTTCCAATTACTTGTGAAACTGGCCCAGGTGAGGTTGGAAGTGTTGTACTCCCTACTTTCCCAATACCTTCTTTAAGCCATTGCAGCTGCAGCCTTCCTTTCACTGATTTCTTTGTATGCATCTTCAGGTAGTCCTTCTGGTCATGCCATGGGGTCTTCTGGGGTCTATTATGTCATGGTGACAGCACTGCTATCACTACAGCAGCCACAGAAGCGAAACACCTTGAGAGGCAGGTAAGGTCTGCATGATTGCTATCATGCTGAAACTTTATGTTTAGACATGGACATAACTGAGAGGGTTCCTCTATTGCTCTTCTCTCCTGGATATATTTTCCCATTCCCATTTGCCTCTAAAGAGAGGATATTGATATAAGACTGTGGAGGAAAACATTGTCTCAATTCATTATCTCATCTTCAGGTGGTTGTTTTTGTTTGAGACAATGGCTGCCACAATTCACACATTAAGAAGTGTTATCTATATGCAACATGAAATAAGCTGTGTTCTTACACAGCAGTTTCAAAGTTGACTTCTAAATCAGCAGTGATAACTTTCATGAAATCAAGATTGAGATTAAACATTGAAGCATTATACTGGTAGTCCTTGATTTATGTCCACAAGAGCCGAGGTGGCGCAGTGGTTAAGGTGCAGTACTGCAGGCCACTTCAGTTGACTGTTATCTGCAGTTCAGCGGTTCAAATCTCACCGGCTCAAGGTTGACTCAGCCTTCCATCCTTCCGAGGTGGGTGAAATGAGGACCCAGACTGTGGGGGCGATATGCTGACTCTGTATACCGCTTAGAGAGGGCTGAAAGCCCTATGAAGCGGTATATAAGTCTAACTGCTATTGCTAATTGAGTTCAAAATTTCTATTGCTCAGTGAGGTATTTGTTAAGTGAATGTATCCCCTTTTGTGAGCTTTTTTGCTACCATTGTTCAGTGAATTACTGGGGTTGCTAAGTTAGTGACATGGGTTTTAAGTGAATCTGGCTTCCCTAATGACTTTGCTTGCAACTATCATCAATACAAACCAGTCACCACCAATGACCATGGGGCTTCTGCTACGGACATGTGAGAAACATTCATAAGTCACTTTTTTCAGTGTCATAATTTTGAATGGTCATTAAAAGAACTGTGGTAAGTCAAGGACTACCGGTATTTGTGGAAAATTAGATTTTGTTGTGCTTCAGTGTCAGTCTCCCTGATTTTGTTCAGTTTGTTTTGGGAACCTCTGGAAACATTTCACAAATGTGTGCATTGAAACATAATTATGAAAATATCTGACTAAATATTTCAGGGAATCATCCATTTGTGAAGAAATGCCATACAAAAAGAGATTACAAAATGTATTTTTTGACTGCAAAACTGATTAGATATATTTATTTAATCCTAAACTGAAGACACAGCAGGTATCTTGTCAGTTTAACACAGATACACAAATATAGATATCCATAGGAGAGTTAAAAGGGGGGGGCAGGGTGAGAGCAACAGTGGAATAAATAAAGTTCTGCCAGGTTTTGTATGTATGGACGTGTGCAGAACATATAAAAAACAGACATAACTTTGATTTCACTACGATGTCTACTATCTTGACTCTTTTACAATCACATTGTACACTGTGGCATCCCTGTACATCATATGAAGTCTCAAAGCTACAGATGGTTCCAAAAAGAGGACAGCAGAAATTGTCCACAGATACTGCTTTTCCCCTACCCCTTGCAGAGCAGAGTGATTAGAGAAGGGATTTCAAGAGAGTAATCAGTATGTGCCTGCTTATTTTCTTGTAATCCCTTCCTGTCCAATCTCTCAGTGCTGAAAGTGAAGGGAAAAACCCCAGATCAGCACAGGACAACACATACTGATTCTAATTGAAATTGCATGACTGAGGGATACTATGAATTCATAAATACAGACATTGGTAGCAGAGTTATGTTTTCAGTATTTTTATAACATTGAAGAGTCACCAAACAAAGCAGTTGGTTAAGTGGGGACTATCTTCATTTAACTAATTCACTGTAGAATTAGCTAAATGAAATCTTATTTCCTGTTCTGGCACAACATTCAAAGGACAGATTGGCCTTTAGCCTAAGTGGTGCAGTTAAAAAAGTCCTGCTTTTGCCCTGATCTTCCCCATTCCAGATGGCTGCATGGTCTTCTTTGGGCAGGATTCTGGGCTATACAAGTCTGTGTCTGCTTATCCCGAGTGTTCATTGCTGCACACTTCCCACATCAAGTGATTGCAGGTGTTATTTCAGGTAAGCTATTTCTGGTCCTGAATAAGTAAAAGAACAAAATCTTATATGTAAATATCAAAGAATGCCAACTCAAACAACGATTGACTTATTCCACAGGATTACTGGTGGCTGTGATTTTTGAACAAGTCCATTCCATCTACACTGCCAGCTTCACACGATATGTTGGAACCATTGGCTTCCTCTTTGGTTTTGCCCTAGGCTTGTACCTGCTGCTCAAGATGCTGGGTGTAGATCTCTTGTGGACACTCGAGAAGGCCCACAAGTGGTGTGAACGGCCTGAATGGGTCCACATTGACACAACCCCGTTTGCCAGTCTTTTACGCAATCTGGGCATTTTGTTTGGTCTGGGATTTGGACTCAACTCCCCAATGTATGCAGAAATGGGCAAAGGGAAGCCAAGCCAAGGGCTGATCTTCCACTTCAGTTGCACTGTTTTTTCATGGTTAGTCCTGCACCTGTTTGATTCCTTTGAACTACCCACTGATCAGGAGATTCTTTTTTACATCCTCTTATTTTGTAAGTGCACTTGTGCCCATATCTGTGCAGTGGCCCTGATCCCCTACAGTATTTTCTGCATCCTTCAGCCGACAGACAAGAAAGATTTATAAGGAACAAATGTCCTGCAATTGAGCCACTTGGATATGTATCTTCAACTTTAAATACTAAAGGTTTATAAACTAAGATATGTTGTGGTCTGTTTTGTGGAAGATTAAACAGAATCTTAATGCCTTCCATACACTGATGAATATAGCTGCCTTCAGACAGAAATGATTTGGTATCGTGGCTGATGGACAGGGAGGAAGCATAGATATATTTTAGCCAGAAAAGAAAGTGGATGGGATATCTCTTAGAAAAGCTTCTGAGGAATTCCAAGCAGAAGACAACTAACTTACCTGCTAGTTTGCAAACAAGCCAGAAACAGTTACAATCACTTTTAATAGTAACCTGGAAGAATTATTTGCTGCATTTGCATTGTCTGCTTCCCCGGCATTCTGGTTCCTTTTCCATATTGATCAGATTCTTTTCCCTGTTTCATGTGAATATTTATGCATTTATCTCCAACCAATGCCAGGCACAATGTCTTGCTTTTCACAATTTTCCTATCACTTTGGACCATATTTAATCCTAGACAAGAAACGATGGATGGAAACTAAACCTAGAACTGAGAAATTTCCTAACAGTGAGAGCAATAAACAACTGGGAAAGTTTTCCTCCAGAAGGTTTTTAAAGAGAGTGGACAGCCATTTGTCTGAAATGGTATAGGCCAGGTATCCTGCTTGAGCAGGGGGTTGGACTAGAAGATCTCCAAGGTTCCTTCCAACTCTACTATTCTATATTCTAATCAATTTACTGTCCATTCTGATGTTGTAATGGAGGCTTTTTCTTCCAATTGTAATCATATTTGGTATAGCCTAAGCAGAATCATAAATCATCAGGTTCATTCAGGATTAAATTTATATACCATTTTTAACACCTAAACAATTCAGGCACTTTCTTTGACTCACATTTCTAAGCCTGATTTTCAGAAAGTGATTCAGAATCCTATCATGGTACTTCTTGTGCAAAGTTATGTAGTAAACACCTTGTACATTAGCAGATTAACTATATAGTTCTAGGCTGCTATGTAAATAGAAAACTATGCACCTCCCTCTCATTAATATTATGCTACCTGGTGGTGCAGTGGTTAGAATGCAGTATTGCAGGCTAACTCTGCTTACAGCCAGGAGTTCGATTCCGATGGGCTCAAGACTGATTCAGCCTTCCATCATTCCAAAGTCAATACAATGAAGACCCAGATTGTTGGGGGCAAGATGATGATCCTAAGATATAATAGGGATTTAAAACAATATTCCCAATTTGGTGCTTTCCAGACGTGTTAGGAATACAAATTCCAAAAAGTCCAGCCAACTGGGCTATGCTGGGTACTCTTAAGTATACCAGTCCTATATATTCAGAGGAGGCAAAATTAGACAAGACTGAGCAAAGAATTATGCCTGTTAAACTCCTTTCCAAATGGTTCAACAGAATACAATTTGGGGAAGACAACATACACTATTAGAAACAAATATATCAGCAAACGTCTATAGTGTTTAATTTGTGATACTGAAGCATCACAAATTTTATGAAACATGTATGGAACATCTCTGAAAAATGCAATTCTTCTCTATACCCAAAAACTGGTTTATGGTGAGGTTTCTTTCTACAAACATATAACAAAGTTTCCAGACATGCTTGTTTTACATGCCACACCTCTCTTACATATGTTATCTCTTTCATATCTAGTAATATCCCTTTTTGTAGTATTAGACCACTGACAATTCTTTTCTGCTGATACTGGCATGCTAAAAAAACCAAAGAGAAATTATTGTATTATTAAATAGTTCTTGAGGAACAATTATGGCTCAATCTTTTGCTTCTTCCCTAATTGCACTATTGTCCTGATGCCCAGTCATTGTTCCGAGTTCTCTTTGCTGGCGAATGCTTGAAGAAAGGCCTCTACTTCTGATCGTTGACTCATCTTTGTAGCTTTGCCCTGATAGCGCCCATGTTTCCCTGCTCCTTTTCCTTCCAGTAGTTCGGCAACTCTTATGGAAAGAACAACAAAGAGGCGAATCAATTTGTTCAGTTAGATTGGATTTCTCTTATTCATCAGTTGGGCAACTGACAAAACAACAGAACAGAGCTCCATTCTCAATGGCTGCCAAATTAATAGCTTGACAGTACTTCAACTGTTTTGACTAACTCACCTGGGACCCAGTTTCTCCACTGCTTCTGAAGGTCCTGCCAGCAAAAAAAGTCCAGCTGCTTTTTCATCTCCCACAGATAAGAAAAGAAGAGTTTCCTGTTGAAATGATAGTGTTTAAGATCTAATGCTGCAAATTCTTTACAATATACTATTCAATCATTGCTCAAGGGTGCCACTGCATAGGAATATTTAAATCAGGATTTAAATTTCTGGTAGTTAAGTCAAATTCATTAGCAGGCTCCCTGCAAGATTTATGCTTCAGTGGTTCAATTCTTAACAGCCATTTCTAGGAAATAGTTTCTTCAGAGAAACTATCCTTCACAATTTTGCAACTTTTATTTTGTTAAAATAAGATTCATATGATTTGATTCCCATTTTTTAAAAAGTCCTATGGATTAGTGAAGGACTAGTTTCTTTTTGTACCGCCCGGAGTCCTTCGGGATTGGGCGGCCTATAAATTTTATTAATAATAAATAAATAAATAAATAAATATTTCCAGGTCATATACTTTTTTAAAAATCAAAGTACTTGAAAGTCTGTTCATACTTATAGAAGGACCAAGTGCAACTTTAGTATTTGAATCAAGCTTAGGACACACAAATAAGTTCTTTGACAAATTATCAACAAGCTAGCAAACAGTTTCTCACCCTCTTGAATGTTAACTATTAAGTCTGAAAAGTTAGAGAGATACTTTCTTCATCTCTTTTGCTTCCACATCTTTATTTGATAGAATCACATGGATAAGAATACTTAATTTGGGATATTTTTATATAATGATGTAAATCTGATCATTATTCCATCTTAAACTTTAAACTATAATTTCTACAATTAATTATCTCAATTTTGCATTGATTTGAAACCATGTTCTAAAGTCCATAGCGAAGATGTCAAATGCCTATTTATAATAAGATGATATAAACAGTGGATAGTCCTTACTTAATAATGCGTCCTCAACTTATGACCAGACTTGAGACCATTTCCATCATAAATCAGTGAAGTCATAAATGTGACTGGACCCAATTTTATGACCAACCAGTTTTACTGCAATTATTAAACAAATCACATGATCGTAAGCGAATCCAGCTTCTCCATTTGAAAATTCTTACTTGAAACCATTCAGAAAAGTCACAAAACAGTCATGTGATACAAAATACTGCAACTGGTCATAAATGCGTATTGGTTGCCAAGCATTCAAATTGTTATCATGTGGCTATGGGGGTTGGGGTGGTGATGCAACAATCGTAAGTGCAAGAACAGGTCATAAATCACTTTTCCTGAGTTCATTGTTTCTTTCAACCATTGTTAAATAATGGTTGTTAAGTAAAGAACTACTGTAACTAGGATTGTCAACTCCATCACTAAGGGACATGGTCACAAAGTGTGACCATGCATAGACTTGTAATAGCAGTTGCAACAGTTCCAGTTATGTTTGATAGATAAATCCCATACTGTTACAGTGTCCCACAGTTACATGATTTCAATTTACAGCCATCTATAATCTTTCCCATTGATTTTATTTGTTGGAAGCCAGCTGTGAAGGTTGCAAATGGAGAGCACAGGACTGCAGGATGCTGCAACCCTCATCATTGTGAGCTGGTTGCAAAATGCCCGAACTGCTATTACCTGACAATGGGAACACTTCAACAGCTACACATTATCAAGAACAGTTACAAATCTTCTTGTTTGGTGCTATTAAATTTCAAATGATCATTGAACAAATGGTTGTTAATAAGGTCTATCTGTATCAGAGGAACCTCCTTTAAATTTAAAATAGGAAATCTTCAACAAATAAATATTTGTTGGAAGATTTCCTATTTTAAAAATTAGAGAAACAAGAAAAGACTCACCCCAGAGCCAATTTCATTTGCAATTATATTCATGAATTCAGAGTCACCATCTTTCCTGTAGAGAGGAGAAAGATATTCCATGATCCCCTAAGAAGAATAGAAAAATTCTTTCCTTTTTTAAAAATGTTATAAGAAATAAGTCCAAACTTCCACTCTTATACCCCTCTCTCTGTAATAGGTCTATCAGATATATAAAGAGTGCCTGGGTTGATTTGATATTTTAATTTGTAACAACTTCAGCTTTTTGGAGATTTAAAATGTAACACAATTTTGCTTGATAGAACTTCAAAGGATTTATTATTAAAGTAAAAATAGAGCTCAAGACACTAAAATGTTCTTGTTGATAAAATTACATATCATTTCATGTTTATGGGTATATGAGAGATGAGGGTGACTTCAATTATCTTAAATTTCCCCTTATCTAAGACATTTGTTGGTTCCACCATACTGATATTGTCAGACTGGTGTTGACTCTTAGCAAACATATACATAGATTTTCTCATGCTGGTCTGCCAAACTAGCTAAGCTTAAACATGAGGAGTCTTTTCCCTCACCTGTGTAAGACAAATACTGGCTGTTGAGCTGTAGTGTTTTTGAAGTTCTGCGCTGTAAGAACAGCTAAATCTCTTAGCAAATTCATATTATTCTGAAAAAAAGAAGTACATCATGGATACACTTAGCAAAGATTAACTGACTGAGGAAATGACTGAGCAGGGAAATTCCTAGCAAGGTAAAGAAGGACAAGGATGCAATAAATGTTACTGAGCTTCTCCGTGATCAAGCTGTAGTCTACCCATCTGGATTCTAAATCACAAGTAGTTTTGTTCTGGGAGAACAGATCTTGGATAGTCCTGAAAGGCGAGTAGGTATAATCTTCCTGCAACTGGTTCTCAATCTGATCCTTCTAATCTAGAGGCTGGACTACATCCTTCCAGATGAGTCAGAACCATCCTGAAAATTGTAGTCATAGTCACTATCATTCCTAACCAACTCACTACCTCAAACCTGGTTTCCATATTCCATTACTAAACATGCTTTTCTGCAAACTGCTTACCAATGTCTTATTTTAACATAAAGTTAACAATATATCTTGCTGTGGTTACTGTGAAGCCAGGCTGGCAACTTTCCATGACAGATGAAAATGAAGTGACATAAACCTACCTTCTGAAGCAGCTTCAGAGAGCTCTGCAGCCTTTTCACAGCTTCTACATGTTCTTCGGGACCATTCCTAAAATACAAAGGCAACCACAGGGTTCAGGAAAGACTGTATAGTATCTTACTGAGAGTAAGCTTTGAGGAGAAACATGAGTGGAGCAATTTGTATTAATAGAGGATGCAGAATTGATTGCAATAGTAATTGCTGTATGATTGGGAATAATTTTTTTTCAGACTAGGAACAATTGTTCAGAGGCTTACATTACTTATCATGAATATTAAATATATTTAAATAAAATATTTGTTCCTCTTCAATAAATAATCAACCCGTATGTCATTGATTGTGGATTTTAGAAAAATCTTAAAGTTCAGCTGCTTTTCCTTCTACTGCTTAAGTGGAATTCTCAGTCCAGTAAGTCTGAAATAGTTTCTCTGTGACTGTGTATAGAGAGGCCCATTTGTGATATACAGAAAATGGAATACTTGCTTAAGCAGTGATGTCATGGCCTTTTCAGTGGCATGGCTTCGATCCAGACTTTTCAGCACCCGATTACCAGCCAGAAAAATTAAGTTGGTTTTGTTTTTTTTCCCCTTTTCTGTACCCAAGAGCTTAATGACCTTTCGAACAAACAAACATTGAGTCAGATTAAAAGATTTCTACAAGCACAAAGAGGCTATTTTTGTTCTGTAGGACAGCCTGACATGCACATCTGAAGAAATTCAATGTATAAAACCTTGCATATGGGGCCTCACCTGCAGGTCACTGAGATTGGAGACATGTGTTCCACAACACATATTAGCATCAATACCTTCAATGCTTATTATCCGTACTGGCCCAGTATGATCATCTGGCAAGCCACGGCTCCTTACCTGTAATACAGTATCTAGTTAGAGAAGAATACAAAGTAGTTTCTTTTTCCACTACTGCAGCCCAAACTTACCATCTCAACTTCAGGATCACCCACAGCAAACTCTCGAACCATCACAGGGACTCGA